ATATCTTTAATATAAAACTAAAATTGTTAATGGTGCCGCTTTGAAAACAAAATGTAAATTCGTAAATGTAACACAAACTGTAAACAATTGGAAATTTAGTTAAAAACAAAATTGCTTTAATATATCTGTCAGATCAGAAAAATAAGAAGATTGAAGAAAATCAATAAATGCTACAAACTTCTGCTTTTTCTGTCTTTTCTAAAGTAAATTTTATAGAAGAATTTATAATTTTAATTTTTCTTATTCAAATTCAAGTCAACTTGAAATGTCGAATCAAATTAAGCATTATAAAAAATAAGCTGAGATCTTCGAAAGTAACGATAATCAAATCTCAGATTCACCTGGTAATCCTGACGAGTGTATCTGTCAATGGTAGATACAGGTGGATGCAGCCTCAAACTTTCGAGTATAGCTTGATCGAGATACTTCATATCGGTAAACGCTTCGTATGTCCAGCCATGCTCCTCAATCGCTCTATTAATATCCTTTCTAGCCAATTTCTGGCATTCTGGATGGTTTGCCAGTTCCATCAGGGTGAAAGATGTACATGTAGAGCTTGATTCAAAGCCAGAGAAGAAAGTGCCGGATTGATAGAGCAAATTTTCTCCTTCGAATTCTGTGATAAGCATTCAATATTTATCGTTAAGTTTTAATCTACTTTATTTGTTCGATTTTAACTAATATTTAAACATTACTCGAAAAAATTTACGTTTCATACAAATTTGATAAATATTCTACCAAAAACCTTGAAATATTATATAAAAATGATTAATATTATATAAAAAAAATAATCATTAATTAATAATAAGTATTTCTGGAATGACAGGTCCAAGATGAATCTTATCAAAGTGAAAAGTATAAAAATTCAAGTTGATAATGCAGTTAACATTGAGATTATCTTACATGTAGATATGAATCTGTTTGTTATGAAATTTTAACTTCTTTATGATTACTTTGGAAAATACCTTCAAATACACTTGAACCTAAAAAGACTTATAATATATTACTTCGAAAAATGAGAATATTTCTCTCAAAGTGACTTAAATTGAATTAAATACGTTTAAACTTTTTATGAATACACATTATGAAAAATTTTACATTCCTTCGAGACAATACGTTGTATTGTAATATAATAAATTAATAACTACAATTAAATTATTACACACACACACACACACACACACACACACAACAAA